CCGCTGGATCTCTGGGTCTATCTCCACGTTGAGGGGGGTCAGCAGACTCTGGTTGACAATGACCTGCTGGATGCCACCCGGAGGACAGGCAGGCCTGAACGTCTGCCTCCCAGCCCCCAGGCCCATATAGGCCCCACCGCCAAGGCCAAAGCCTCCCGGGCCCCGCCCTGATGAGGCCCCTCCAGCCACACTGCCAGAGATGCTCTTGCTGCCCCCCAAGTTATGGAGGCTCCGGCTGCCAAAGCCGCCTATTCTGGGGCCACAGCGGGCCCCCTCACTGCTGCCACTGCTCTGGGACACCGTCACTGAGCTAAAGCTCGTGTGGGCCTGGGACCTGCCCCCACCACTGGCAGAGCTGGAGCTGAAGCCCCCGTTGGTGGAGAACATCCGCCGAGACACAGAGGACTTCATGGTTGCAGAGGGGCAGGAACGCAGGCCAGCAGTGAGCTGCTGGGCCACTGATGGGCTTTTTATCTTTTCCCAGCTGGGCTGGCTCCTGGGCTCCGCAGACACTCCTGCCCCATCACCCCAGGAAGAGAGGGAGGGGCCCTGCAGGCCGGGGGAGGGCCAACTGCTCCCGGTTATCTCCTGTGCTCCGGCGCTGCGGCTAAGCCGAGACTGATGGGGCAGGATGTCACCTTCTGCTCCCCCCGGGGGCACTCCTGACTTGGAACAGGATGACACAGTCTCCTACAGCCTCCCCCACCACCCAGTGGCTGGTTACTCTCCTCCCATCCAGCCCTGGTGGCCGCCATCAATGGGGCTCTGTTCTGTGGGTTTTGTCCACGGCCCCGGGAGTAAGCCAAGGCCCCAGGGCCCGGGGCTGTGCAGGTGGTAAGGGAGGAAGTGTTGGGCAATGGATGGTTGTGAGAGTGCCCAGACCTGCTCCCGTCCTACCTCCCCAGCCCACAGCCTCATTGCCTCCTGACAGGTCCAGGGTTGGGGGGCACAGGTGACAGCATAAGGTGGGCGTAGTCTGTTCTTTTGTCACACGCTGACAGACTGTCTGCTCGGCAGAGATCCTGTGCTGGGCAAAGTGGATACCAGGATAGAAAGAGGGTCCCTGCCCAACCTTGGGACCTGGGCACTTACTAAGCAGGTAGAAGGGCCTGGGTGCCCAGGTGCCCCAAAGCCAGGGGAGGAGGAGGCAAAACACACTCTTTGGGGCCCTGAAGAGAGACAGGGAGGAGGGCCTCGACCACCGCCTGAGACCCCAACCCTCTGCCCCATGGCAGGGCCGCCCCAGAAGGGCCCGGCCACTTTGGAGGGAGCTGGAAGTGGGCGGAGGACACACCCCATCCTGGCTGGACGTACGAACAGATCCAAGAAGCATGTGTTCAACAGAAGCCCAGAGAGGCCCCAAAACATTTCCGTCTTCTCAGCCCACGGAGCCCGGGGGTCAAAGCTAGTCAAGTGTTAGAACAAGGTCGTGTTGAGGAGGTGACTTTAGCGGTTGTCCCTCTTCACCGTCCTCAGCTTTCAGCAAGCAGATGGGCCCAGAGCGGAGACACGTGCCTGAGGGAAGGAGCAGAAACAGCGCTCGCTGTGGTCCTCACACAGCTGCCGGGTTAGAACTGGGACTCGCATCGACTGTCTCCCCAGGACCCCAAAGGAGAGGACATGGGACCATCTCCACCGCCCAAGGAAGGCCAGCAGAGAGCATGCCCGCTCCAGGCCCAGAGGAGCCTGTGGGACCCTCTCCTAGGGCCCTGGGAGGATGTAAGCGGCTCCCAGTTGCCTGAAGAAGTTGAACCCCGCCTCCCTTTACATGATGGAGTTGAGGGCACTCAACAGAACTAGTCCCTTCATGCCCATAGGGATTTTCCTCCCTGCTTGGAGTTAGGACACCAGACATTTGGGGGAGCCAGGCTGGGAGATGAATTCCCACTGAGCTGTGTGTCCAAGGGCAACACTCAACCTCTCTGGGCCTCCTCGCCTCTGCCTACAAGCAAGGCCGTCCAGAGAAGCCCTTTCAAAAGACACTGGCCCAAGATCCCAAGACTGAGCCATCACTTCCCACTGACTTTTATCTCCGGTCCCTGAGGCTGTAATCACTTTCTCAGCCTCCCTTATCTCTCCCCACATGGCATGCGAGGGAGAGACAGTGGTGAGTGGGGTCCCCCTGGGGAAGAGGGTGATGTCAGCCATCTGAGTCAGGCATAGCCAGCTTGGTGGGAGTTGAGTCGGCTGCAAACACACACTCCACTCCTCCCCAGAGACTGATACCCTCCTGTATTTACCTGGTGCTCTGTGCCAGGCTTTCAGCCAGGAGCTGGTGATAGCCGCGCAGGCAGCCCAGGACCGGCTCTCACTTTTACTGCTTAGAGACAGCCTCTGTCCCACCGAGCCCAGACAGCGCAGGAGCCACTGTGCCTTCTCCGGCCCAACTCTCTAATCCACCTTCATACTGGCCACCCAAACTCATACCTTTCTATAGCCGAGCAGGCACGGTTCCCTCCCCTGCTGCTGCTTGGACCAAGGGCTCCATCTCTGGAGACGTTCCTCTGCCCCGGGTCCCTCCTTGCACAGGACACAAGGACAGAGAAGATGGAGCGTTGCTGCTGCTATAGAAGGGATGGGGTGAGATGGCTGATGGCATCAACCAAGCACCCAGTACAGATCAGGCTGGGTGCTGAGCCCAAGACAGAAAAGATGAAGCGGTGAAGAAAACAGCCAATGCCCTTGAGGAACCATCCAGGGCAGGTCTTTCTCACCCAATAGGAATGACTGTTAGAGTCAGCGTTTATTGAGCACTTACTATATGGCAGATGCTTTCCATGCAAATGATGTAACCAGTCTCCACACTAAGGATGCTCCTTTTGCCTCTTTCCCACCCCAGACCCATTCGCCGACCTCCTTGACCCCTGTGGGCTGCTCCCTGGCTCTTTGGCTTCTGGGGAGATGGGGTGAGTTTGGCCAAGGGGGAGACACTAGCAGGAGACCTGGGGGGGGCGGATTTCTCCTCGATGCCCTCCCTACTCGAGGGGTGGCAGCCTTCCTCCATGATTGCAGCTTCTTCCAGTCCCCACGCCTCTATCACCTAGTCAGTCACCACTCTTCCTCTGTCTCTTCAGCTCTACACAGAGCCACCACCTCGTCCTGATTTTCCCAGGACTGTCCCACTTTAGCCCTGAAAGTCTCACACCCTGGAAAACCCCTCAGCCCTGGATAAAATGGAGGTTGGCCGCCCCGGGTTCTGGGGTGGCCATGGCTTCCCACTGCTGGCCGCCCCTGGCCTATGTCCCATCCCTTAGACACACCCATGCCTCTGTAAGGGGTCCTTTCATTCAAGTCCATCTAGCTAAACTGTCTTGGGTGAACTGGAGTCCTGCCGGGACCCTGAATGGTCTCACCCCCACATGGCCCTGTGAGGTGGGTGTTATCATGATTAATGTCTTTTCACAGACAAGGGAACTGAAGCACGGAGAGGTCAAGTACTCGGTCAAAGTCACACCACCAGCAAATGGCAGAGCTGGAATTCAAGCCCAGGATGTCTACTCCAGGGCCGTGTGCTGACCCACTTATGTCTCCCTCATAGAAGGCAAAGGCTGAAAAGCTTCTCCTTGGATACTTTTGATGGAGAGACCCATGGGTCTGAGAAAAGGGCTGGCCTCCCCCTAAAGCAGGGGGCAATGGCATGACCTCCTGCAGCTCAGGTCCTGGCGCTGGGGGTGGACCAGGTGGAGAGGGGAAGAGGGACGGAGCAGTGCAAGAGCCGATGGGCTGCTGCGAGGGAGGGGAAGAAGGTGACCCAGCCCACAGTCCTGGCTTCCAGTAGAGCTTCCTGCAGAAGAGGGAAGGAGGAGGAGTTTCCACGGTCATGTTCAGACGGGACCAGTGATAGGATGAGAGCCAAGGGGCAGGGGGATGGGACATAGTTCTGATCCCAAGTCCCCATCAGAGCCCCTGGGCACAAGCTAAGCTGCTGAGCCCCGTCCTGGGTGCAGGAGAATAACCTGCCCAGAGGTCCCAGGCTAATAGGGAAGCTGAGTTCGAGACCAGAACGGGACAGAAGCAGAGCCAGGGATATCAACAGGTGCAGCCAGGCTGTGCCAGGGGCGGGGAGGCTCTGGCACCTTCTGACACGGGGAATTGGGGAAGTTTTCCAGGGAGAGGAAATCTGGTACAGACTTGGGAAGAAGGAAGAGTGGATGGAGGAGGCTGTCTTGGGTCAAGAATAGAGTGTGCTGTGGGCAGTTAACCAGGAGGAAGCTACGAGAGATACTAGAACTTCAGTGGGGTCGGAGGAGAGGGAGGGCATCCCAGGGAGCATAGAGGAAGGCAAAGGGGATCCCTTGATGAGCTGACTGGGGTGAGGAGTGAGATGCCCACAGGAGGTACCCAAACAGCCATAGATATTCCACAAATTGCCTCCTGAGGAGAGTGAACTGGGCAGCTGCACAGCTTTTGCTTTGCTGGGTGAGCCGTGCAAGCCTGGGCAGAGCTAAATTGCTAGAAGCAGTGGCAGAGAAGCTGCACGTTGTCATGGGGAATCTTCGTTTCTGCCCTTTAGCCTGTCCTCTAAATGCCCTTTGAACACGTGTTTAAGGCTAAGGCTTAACGTCAGTGCTGAATAATTAACCTGCCCGGCAGAAGGCCAGTTTAAAGCTCAGAAGTGAGAGATGGAGGCTTACCACCCTGGGCAGAGCTGGAGCCAGAGCATCATCGGAAGAAGGGTCAGAGCACAAAAGGACCTCTCCACAAATCCCCATCTCCCAACCCAGGGTGACTGAATTAGCTGCAGGAGGCCAGCCTCTGGCCCTGGAAACCAAGAGCTTCAGAAAGGAAGAGCTGGCTCTCATGCATGGAAGAGGTTACGCCGGAGACACAAGAAACAGAAAGGGTGACCGAGACACCGAACCCAGGAGGAGGGCACGATGGGTTTGCTCTTGTTTGTCAGAGTAGACCCAGTCCTGGCACAGTGTCTAGGGTATGGTTTGCACTCAATAAAATTTACGGGAGGGGAAGGAGGGGTGGCAAGGAGAAAGGAAGACCCACTTCAGGGATAACTGGATGCTGCTTTTATTTCACAGGAAATAAATGGACAGAAATACAGAAATGGAGGCTCAGAGGCAGGTCAAGAGGATGAGGGCAGTACCCCTCGGTTCCAGCCCCCAGGCTCTGGTCAGTGGGCCTCAGGCCTCTCCCTTGGGGTGGGGATGCAGTCTGACCAACCCAAATACAGGAGCTTTCCCAGCCCAGTGGAAGGCTGTGGAGAGAGGAGAAGACGAGGCTGTCTGACTGGAGGACAGGGCGCTATCAAATCAGTATGCAGAGCAAGGCTGGAACAGCAGGCAGGTGGAACCCGGCTGACTTCTGCAGAGTCCCCTGTGGGCTGGCTCGGGCTATGGGCAGTGGACACAGAGCCAGCCCTGCAGGGATGGGGCTGATGAGGATGCGGGAGACCAGGGGGAGCAAGGGGCCTCTGAGCCACTCAGTAGGTGATGGATGTCTTCAGACTTGACTCGACCGTCTTCTTCAGGATGGTGTGGCAGGTGGAGCCAGAGCCAGAGCCAGAGCCAGACACAGAGCAGGAGCCAAAAACAGGGCCCTGCCCAGAGCCCAGGATAACATTGGAGCCTCCAGTCACGATGCTGGAGCCTCCAGTCACAATGCTGGAGCCTCCAGTCACAATGCTGGAGCCTCCGGTCACAACACTGGAGCAGCTGGACCCAAAGCTGCCTTTCCCACCTCCGAGTCCACAAGTGCCCGCCAGGCCACCACTTGCTCCTCCAGACACAGCAGTGCTGCCTCCTCCAACGGCTGCCAAGAAAGACACCAAAGTCACAGCAGAGTCCTCAGCTCCTTGTGGGGACCCCTCTCCTGAAGTCCCCCGATACTCACAGATAATGACCTGACTGGTGCACTCCCCAGACATCCTGGGAGAGAAAGAAAGAGAGGAAGAAACACTAAGAAGGGCTGCAGAGAATGCGTCCCCAGTTGTTTTAAGCCTCCTAGAGCAGTTCACTACCCTCGGAGCAGATAAAACCCCCAGTCCCCAATTTAAAATCCCTCCGAACAGAATAGGTGCCCCTCAGTGGCTCCGAGTGTCGGGAAATCTTTCAGCATCCCCTGCAGCAAGGAGAGTGCTTGTTGACCTTGCATCCTCCTCCCCCACCTCGGTGACATCCCCGGGGGCCCTCTGACCGGCCCTCACCGGCTCTCCTCGCCCTCCAGCAGCTTGCGGTAGGTGGCGATCTCGATGTCCAGGGCCAGCTTCGAGCTCATCAGCTCCTGGTACTCACGCAGCAGCCGCGCCATGTCCTGCTTGGCAGTTCTCAGAGCGGCCTCCATCTCGGCCACCTTGGCCTGAGCATCCTTGACGGCCAGCTCCCCACGCTGCTCAGCATCGGCGATGGCGGCCTCCAGGTTGGCATTCTGGATGGGGTGTAGAAGCGCGGCTGAAAGTGGCTGTAAGCCCATCCAGCCTACCAAAGCACCTACTGTGGATTTAACTCCAAGGCTGAGATGAACCGTAATCTCATGAGCTCAAAATTATTCCTGGCCACCTCTAGCTCCTCTAGGTCTGAGGGAAGATATTGCTTCTCCTGCTTTCTAAACTCCTGGAGTGGGTTAAATAGTGTCCCCAAAGTTGTCATGTTCACCTAGAACTTCAGCGCCTGATCTTATTTGGAAAGAGGGTCTTTGCAGATGTAATTAGTTACAGATCTCAAGATGATATCATACTGCATTCACAGTGAGCCCTCAATCCAGTGACTGGTGTCCCAGAAAACGATGAGAGGATGCAGAGACAGACACAGAGACGATGCTGTATGAAGATGGAGGCAGACAGGGTGGGAAGGGATAAATTGGGAGCTGGAGATTTGCAGATACTAGCTACCATGTACAAAATCGATAAACAGCAAGTTGATACTGGATAGCACAGGGAACTATATTCAATACCTTGTAGTAACCTATAATGAAAAATAAAAATGAAAAAGAATATATGTATGTATATGTATGACTGAAACATTACGCTGAGCACTGGAATCTGACATAACATTGTAAACTGACTATACTTCAATTAAAAAAAAAATGGAGGCAGAGATTGGAGTGACACAGTGACCACACGTGGAAGAAAGCCCCCCAGTTCCCTCAGAGCGAGCATGGCCCACCTATACGTGAGTTCAGACTTCTAGCCTCCAGAACTGAGAGAATAATTTCTGTCGTTTCAAGCCGCCGCGTTTATGGTACTTCGTGACAGTAGTCACAGGAAACGAGGCCGCCTCCTTTGCCACTTCCTCCTGTGATCGTCCCTGTTTCTTCCCATCCCCAACCTCAGCACCTTTCCTGAGGCACCTTCTCTCTCCCGGGGTTCTTGAAGCTCCTCCTGTCCTGTATGGGTCATTAGCTACAAGTCCCCTCTTGAGGGCCACGAGGTCCTTGATGTTGAACAGCCCCTCATCACATACTTTGTCCTGTTGTTGTCAGAGTCTATCTATCAAACCGTGGACCTCAGTTTTAGATTTGAAAAATCCATCCTCTGCGCACGCCTCCAATCTGATAGAAAACTCCCAGAGGAAGGACGACATCCCTGTCTAATCCGCCGCTGAGCTGATTCACCCTCACGTTGGGTTCAGGAGAGAAGGCGTCCCCTAAAGGCTCTCACTGAAGTGTAGTCAGTTTACAATGTTGTGTCAGTTTCTGGGGTACGGCATAGTGATTCAGCCATACATATGTATAAATTTCAACTAAAATTTTTTAAATAAAAATTTTAAAAAATAAGCTCTCATTACTCACTTCCCATGCCAGCACCCTATGAATGGGAACGCGGTCTCCATTCTACAGATGAAGAAACTGTGACTAAGAAAGGAGGTAAGTGACAGAGCTGGGACCTTAACCCAGAGCAGCTGACGTCCAGTCCACCGTTCTTACCGCAGCCCCAGTTCAACAGGCTTGCACACGAAAAGGAGGAGTCGGTCGGGGCTGGGTCCCCAAGAGGGATTCTCCCAGGAAAGGCACCCTGCTATGTGGGGGGACCGTGGTTCCCAGTGTGGGGACATAGCGACTCTCCTAGGTGCTGGCCACTGGGCTCTGAGACTCCACACTCTTCACCATCACCGGGATGAACTTGGTTGAGAGAACAGGTTTCCGGGCTCCACACTTAGAGACAGATTCCCTCTTTCTGCCGGGAAGCCCAGGAATCTGCATCTTATCAGACACCCCAGAAAATTCCGAAGGAAAAAATCTAAATTTATGAGCAAAACACTGTGGCAGCAAATTGAGTAATAGGACCTGGTCACCTTCATCTCAGGTGCTGCCTCATACTCCAAAGAAGAGCAGGTCAGGTTGGACAGGGACGGAGTCTGGCCTTTGAATGAAAGTTCTCTGTGCTCCGAGAACTTTCCGTGGAGGGCCCTGCTTGGGAGCGGCCTGGGGGTCAGGCCCAAGTGCTTGAGGAAACCACCTGACTCTGTGGTCTCAGCTCTCGACCCTCTGTTGATCCCTAAAAAACAATTCTTTGGCTTTTGGGAAAGTAAGCATAAAGGCACTTGACAACTTAAAAATCATAATCTTCACATCTAAAGTAGGTTCTCCAGGAGGAGCTGGAAACCACCTCGCTGCCTTGCCGTCATCTTCCTCCACCTCTCCCTGCTCCTCCTACGCAGGCACCACAGCATCACCTCCACCCCGACCCAAGGGGGCCTCAGTGCCCCACCGTACTGCCCGTGTCTCCTGCTCCCTGAGGTCCTGGCTCTCACCCTCCCCAGCAGGGGACCAGGAAATTCAGCACACAGCCTTAGAATCCCTGCTGGGCTTGAGGAGTAAGTGTCAAAAGAAGAGATAAAAAAAGAGAGAAATTAACACTGTTCCCCAAGTTGCCGAAAGCAAGAAGCACACCAGGACACATGTACACAGAATGCGGCGTGAGGGCTGGGGCCGGGGCTGGCGGTGCGGAGCCAGTGCAGCCGGAGTCCACAGGAGGAGGGCTGGACTCCTCTTAAGTGGGGCTTGAAGTTCTCTCCCCACCAAATTAGCCAAAGTTCCAGCCAGTTATCAAGGTTTCACACAAACCCAGCAGTGACCCTGGCACGAAGCAGTGAGACGGAGGCCTTGGGGGCTCTGGGACCCTCACCTGCTTCTTGAGGTTCTCAGTCTGACTCTGCAGCTTCTGAATCGTCTGCTGTAGCTGACTGATGTGGGCTTTGATTTCCTTCATGTTGTCCCCGTGAAGCTGGGCAGACGCCTGAAGCTCCTGGTACTGAGGGGGGACAGAGGTGACACCATCACTGGGGAGGACCCTCACCTTTGACCCCAAGACAATGAGAAACACCATGGCCCCAGTTCTCAGCCTCCTCACATTTGGGCTGTGGGTTAAATGCTGAGACCAGAACATGGTGGGATGTGCTTGAGGAAGTCCGGGCTTGTCGCCCGTGGTTTCCCTGCATTGCCTCCCTCCTGGAGAAGGGAAATGTGGTGCCCACCCAGCCCTGGAGCTGCAGGGAGGTTATCAGAACAGCCCAGTGGGGCTGAGGTGGATGACCACCCTGCGGGCGGGAGGGAGACCCAGCCTTCCCCAGCGCGGTGCTTGCCCATGGCCCTGGCACCTTGGTCTGGTACAGCATCTCGGCCTCGGCTTTGCTGGTCTGGGCAATCTCCTCATACCGGGCTCGGACCTCGGCGATGATGTCTCTGAAGTCTAGGCAGCGACTGTTGTCCATGGACAGCACCACGGACAGGTCACCAGCCTGGGTCTGGAGCTGGCCTAGCTCCTGCCAGAAAGACTGATTCAGTGTCTGCCACCCCACCGCTTCCTTTCCCCTTTCCCCCAGGCAGGTGGGCAGAGTGCCTGACTTCCTGCCCCCTCCTCTGGGGGCAGCCCTCATTCACGCAGGGTGGCACTGAGCATGCCCTGCCCTCTGCAGGGCTGTGTCCTTATCTGAAAGTAGGAACTGTCCAATGACTCCTGGACAATAAAGGACTATGTCCTGCAGGGCCCAGAGTCATCTGGTCCCCATCACTCTCTGATCACACTCCCCTCCCTCTCACTCCCACTGCTCCAGCCACAGTGGCCTCCTTACATTTTCTCAAAGACACCAGCAGGCTCCTGGCTCCCTTTACCTGGAATCTCCATTTCCCTGCTGTGTGGCTTTCTCACCTCCTTCAGATCTTTGTTCAAATTTTATCTTCTAAATAAGACCACCCTGACCACCCTATTTGAAATTGCCACCTGCCCTACCCCTTACATTTCCAATCCTCATTTTCTGTTCTAATTTTCCTCTTTTCCATTGTATTTGTCACCTTCTAACATGCTATGTAATTTACTTATTCACTAGGTCTATTTTTTATTGTCTGTCTCCCAATAGAAAGCAAGCTTCACAATTTTTGCCTGGTTATTCGCTGCTACATCCCAATACCTAGCAATTCACATGGGAAATTCTCAGTAATTCTTTGTCAAATGACTGAATGACCGGGATCTAAGTCACACTAACCAGGCTTCACCTCTTGGCCACTCCCACTATAGCCACCGGGAGCCTTCCCACCCTTTTCCTGTCCCTCGCTCCCTCCAGTTCTTGGCAGACCATCACTTCTGCCCTTGAAGAATGCTCACTTCTTCATATAGACGCCTCAGGAAACAGATGTACTCGCTCAAAGCCTTCAGCTTGCCCTCCAACTCCGTCTTGCTCAGGAAAACCTCGTCCACATCCTGGGGACAAGAAGACAGAAATCATATACCACTACTTCTTTGGGGGTCCTATTCTGGTTCAGGAGTTCAGGTTACACACCGCCCAACATCCACCCCCACATTCATCTCTGAAGACCTATTTCTTCCTTCTCCAGCCCTGCCCTGCCCTGCCCCCTTTTTAGCCTGACACTGGCCCATACCACCTTCAGGAAGCCTTCCCTGATTCATCCCAACCAGTTCTACTTCTTCCACTACCTCCCCACCCTCTACCGCAATGACATCCAGAGCTTGTCACACAGTCCCTCAGTCAGATCTTGTCCTGGGGTCTCTGTGTCTACATAGATGTCCCATTTCCCCAGGGGGTCCCTGAAGGCAGTGTAATAGCATGTTGTGCATGAGGATTCCCACCCACGGCCCTCCCAGCCCAGAACTGGCTCCATGAACTGTGGATGCTCAGGATTCAGGCAGAGTAGCTGACCCCACTCTCACCTTTTTGAGGACCACAAAGTCATTCTCCACGGTGGCGTGCTTGTGAGCCTCCCGTTCACATCTGTCAAGTAAGCATAGAAGAGTCCTGCCTGGGGTCCTGAGATCGGAGCCCGTGCCCCTCCTCCAAGCATGACCTCCCTGAAATGCCAGTCTGCCTTTAGATGCTCTAAGGCAGGACACACGACCAGCCCGCATCACTTCTTTTCCATCTGGAAGTTTTATCATGTCTTATGTCCCTTACTCTTTCAGCCCACATCCCCTTGATGACATAAGGCCACCCTACGTCACATTTATAAGGCGTATTCAAACACTTCTTCTCACTTCCCACTCACAATCATCATCTGAAGCAGGTATTTTGGATTGTTTCAGGGAGATCACGTGATGTGCCCAAGTCATAGATAATGAGGTGTCCCGAGCAGATCTAAAACCCAGGTGTCCCAGCCCCAATCCTGGGCTCTTCCCAGGGCCTGCTCCACCTCACATAGCATCCTCCCAATGGCTTTGGGAGGTAAGAAAGGCGGGTGACATTTTCCTGGTCTACAGATATGGAAACTGAAGCTGGGAAAGTTAGAAATCCCTGCCCAAGGCCACACAGCTATTCTGTGCTCACGGTCGCCAAACCCAAGCCTCCTGTTGGTCCAGGGCTCTCTCTATACCAACAGGTGACCTGGAAGGGGAGCCCAGAACCACAGCCCAGCTGTGAATCACGCCACAGACCAGGGGATGGTCCCACTAAGTGGATTCCCTTCCACCTCTGACCAGAGAATATCTGAGTCACAGTAGCCCACAGCCTGCTCAACAGGAATTTCTCAAGGAAAAAACCCACAGAGGCATTGTTTCAATAATCTCCTCCCAGCCTTGACCAAAGTTGTGGCCCTCGCAGCTGGGGCCTGCTAGAACCAAGGTTCTGTGGCCGGGCACCAGGGCCTGCGGGGCCTCTCACCTGCAGCAGGTGGGCGCCCAGACTCAGAGGGCATGCACAGGGGCTGGCGGGGAGGCCAGGCCTGTGTCTCTGGGAGCTAAGCAGTGGGAGACCCTCTGGCTGACAGCCTGATCCCAGCCTTCCAGGACCCCACCCAGGCCCGCGGGGACGCGATGATTTGCCTACTTGGCCTTATACTCCTCCTCCTGGTCCTGGCAGGACTTCAGCTCGGCATCCAGAGCCTCTCGGTCTCTCTGCAGCTGCTCCAGCCACTTCCTGAGCTGGACCACATAGGCCTCGAAGAAAGACTCCAGGCCCTGGGGGCTGTCTCTCACCCGCTGCTGCTGCAGCAAGTGCCACTTGGTGTCCAGGACCTTGTTCTGCTGCTCCAGGAACCGCACCTGCAGCACAGACAGAGGGGCTCTGAGGTTCCCGTCGGGCTCCCTGGGCACAGCCTCTGGGAAGCAAAGCCTCAACAACCCTCCAGCCAGCCTGGAGCCTTGTAGGCCTTTAATAAATGTTTGCAACCGCACTAAGTGAATTAGAATAACGTTTGTATAAAGGGAATTTCAAATAGCACAGGGAACTATATTCAATATCTTGTAGTAACTTACAATGAAAAGGAATATATGTAGCTACAGGTATGAGCGAAACATCATGCTACACACCAGACATCGACGCAACATTCTAAACTGACTCTATTTCAATTAAAAATCAATAAAAATAAAAAATAAATTTAAAAGGGAATTTCAAAATAATTAAATAGGGCCTTGGCATAACCAGAGAGACTCCAGTTAGACCACAGGAGGGACTTCCTTGCTGCAGAAGTGATCAGAAAAGTGGTAGGAGATCAGACTTCCCCATTCCCAAGTCCATCGAGAACAGCTCTTCCAAGGGAGGCGCAGAGACAGAGGCTTAGCTGAGTTGACCCTCACCTTGTCAATGAAAGAAGCAAACTGATTGTTGAGGGTTCTGATCTGCTGGGTCTCCTGAGTTCGCACCACCTGGAACTGGGGGTCGATCTCAATCTTCAGTGGAGTCAGCAGATTCTGGTTGATGGTCACTTCCTGGATGCCTCCGGGAGGGCACAGAGAAAGTCCTGGCCCAGCGCTCCCCTCCCTAAACCGTACCCCTAGCCTTGCCCCTGACCCCCAGGCCCTCCCACGAGAGCCTCCTCGGCAGCCCCCAGAGGAACTGAGGCTCCTACTGCTGAAGCCACCCCTGCCTCGGCCCCCTGAGCGAGCAGAACAGGCTGAGTGAGCACTGAAGCCCCTCCGGACCCGGCAGGGAGAGAGAGACATGGCAGAGAATGATGGTCTCACAGCTGCAGACAGTCAAGTGTGTGAGTTCCTGCCCCGAGGCCCCGGCACAAGACTTTTATCCCCTCCCGTGCCTGGGCTGGGCCTTGGAGAGCAAGATGCTCTTGACCTGACTGTGTCTGTCACTGGCTCCAGCTGACCTCTTCTGACACGCCTAAAGAATAGGTGCCCAGCACGTGCAGAGCCCAAGGAGGAGACCCAGAGACTGCCCTCAAAGCACCCAGGCTACGGGAGGGATGGGCACGTCCCAAAGACCAGGAAGCAGCCAGAGACTGGGACTTCAGTGCTGGGGGATGGGGAGGGACAGCCCTGAGCAAAGTCTTGGAGGGTCATTCAAGGAAGGCTTCCTGGAGGAGGAGATGGGGAAGAATAAGGGAGGCACATTCAAGAGGAGAAGAAGATGGAGGGGGTTCAGTTGGAGCACTTGAGTGCCCTGCTGATGGTGGACAGAGGAGTGAAGCTTCTCAAGAGAGGATCTACGTACAAGAGGAGGAGAAGGAAGAGACATTGCAGCACTGCAGAAGGTTAACAGAGGTGTTATTGTCCTTGTTGGCTAAAAGACACTCCAGGATTTGGAAATGAAACAGAAAAACAGGGTATCCAAGTCCCTCCTCTTGCTCAACCCAGCAATTATCCATGGGGCGCCACCCCACTCAGAGCAGGCATCTCCATCTGGGATCGCGATGAATGGAGCATTTCAAACCCAGCCTGTGTCCCTTTCCACAAACACACAGCGCCAGGCCCATCCACTTGGGTCCAACTCTGCATTTGTCAGCTCACCTATCAGAAGCTCTCAGGCTCCGAAATAAAATGTACATTTAGAAACATACTCCTCCCTGGAGACTGGGAGCAGAAACAGGAGTTTTGAGGTTCCCCACAGGATAGATTCTATCTCTGCCCTGGGAGTCTACCAATTAGAGGAGCTCCAGGTTCATGTAGTATTTAGTGAGCCTCCCACCAGCTGCCTCCACTGATGCCCTCCCTCTGCTGGCAAGGAGGGTTGGCAGCTCTGATTTTTAGAAATTTCTAAGATTTTTCCTTACGTGGAGGGATGGCTATTTCTTCCTGTCCCTCCCCCGTCTTTCTTAGAGCCTGATACACTATGAAGCTGGGATACTGGGACTTTTGATAATTCAGCTCAAAGCCAGGACAAACAGAGACTCGTCATAATAAACACTCAAGAGATGTGCTATGAGGAAGTCAGTCCTAGCAATGTGAACAGTCCCACAGATACTCCACCGCCCAGGCCAGGCAATGGTGAGCGCATCTCCCCTCCCTCCAGAGGATTAGAAGCCCCTTCCTCCTTCCCCTCGCCTCATCCGGCAGCATCCCAGAATGAAACTGAATGACAGATGACCTCAAGGAGAAGAGGCCAAGCCTTCTGTGGGAAGAATAAAGGTGATCAAGGATTAACAGACCCACGTGACTATATATAAAACAGATAAACAACAAAGACCTATTGTAGAGGAACTATCTTCAATTTCTTATAGTAAGATATAATGGAAAAGAATCTGAAAAGAAAATAAATATATGTATGTATATGCATAACTGAATCACTTTGCTGTACACCTGAAACTAACATTGTAGATCAACTACACTCCAATTTAAAAATTTAATTAATTACTTAAGTAATTGATTTTTTTGCTGAAGTACATTGAAATTTAAAAAAAAAAAAAAGCCAATCAAGGGACTGAAGGCCCAGGTGAGGAAGAAAGGAGAGAAAGGATCCTAGCAGAGATTTAGTTACACCGTGGAGAGGGAAGGCAGCACGGAGCAGCCTCGGAGTCCAGAAAGAGAAACTGGGAAATGGGTTGAACCTCATCGAGGACCCACCTCCAGACTCTACCCTCTGGGGACCACTTTGCAGAGGCAAGGAGGGACGGATGCCTTCCTTCCTCAAACGTTCTTGAGAAAGATCTCCGTGGACTTGACTTCACCATCCCACTGCCCCCATCAGTACTGAGGTTGGAAGGCAGAGGTCACACTTGGAACAGGGCCTAATCTACCTCCCTGGAACTTCCTCATATTTGTAATATTATAGAATATTAGAGCCAGAGAGCTTCAAGGCCCTCTGGTCCAATGCCCTCATTTCACACTTGAGGACTCTGAGAACCCACAGGACGTAGGGCAGGGTGCAAAGTCTGTGCTCCCTTGAGTAACTTCAGATTGCACCAGATGAGCTCTAAGACTGCTTTGACCCAGCACTCTGTGGTTTCAGTGACTTGCTCAAGGCCACCAATACAGCTGATCAGGCTGGAGCCAGGGCCCCCAGCTAGCTCAGATCACTGCCCCACAGAGCAGTCCACTAGACAAACCTTTGATCATGTCTCCACAATGTCTGTCTTATCCACCCCTCCATCCAGCTCAGGGTCTGGCTTACTCTAGGCACCCATAAGTGCTTGTTCTAAGAGATGAATTCTTTTCCATGACAGTTACACCCAAGGACCTTCTTGAATTCCTGAGTTCTCAAACACTGCTGTAACATACGTCTTCCCCAATTTAAAAAAAATAAAATCACGCAGTGATGGAGAAAATGACAAAAAGGTTTGGAGATTTGAATGCTAGGCCCCTCACAGCCTCAGTGATTTGTTCCTGCACACAAAGTTACACCAAGGGATCCTAATCCTGCAGCAGAAAAAGTACCAAGGTTTGCAAAGTGCAATAGAATGGGTTCTATTGAATGGGTCACACCCCCTGCTCCAAGTCAACCATCCTCAATCACACCTCATGTTCTGCAGCCCCTGCCCACCCTGGTCCCACCTTCAAGAATGCCCCTGGCCAGCACAGCTTCTTGTCGCTCCCCGGCAGCCCCTTCCCTTACTGCCCTATCCTAAGTTCACCCCTGGCCACAGCTACGACTTTTCAAGCTCTTTCTCTCTAATTGCTCTCAAGCCTCTTCTGCCCGTGCAGTTGATTTTTTGATCCAGAAGCCCTTTTATTCATTGACTCACCAAAATGCAATTGAACACCTTCTGTGCGCAAGGGCCTGTGCTGAGAGTTAAGAATTTAACAGAGAACAAGACCCAGCCCCTGCACCAAGAAAGCTTAGAGTCTAGTAGAGAAACAGACACTGAACAGGTAATCAGACAAGTATTTAACTGCAATTATGACAAGGAGAGAAAAGTACAAAGCATGAAAGGGGCCTAACCTAGTTTAACCCCTTATTTATTCTCAAACATACCAAGGACACTCCTGCCTCAGGGCCTTTGCACTTGCTGTTCCCGATTCCTGGAATGCTCCTTCCCAGACCCCCATGTAGCTGCAAGTCACCTCCCTGGGCTGCCCCAAACCAAAATTGCAGCACTGAGGCCATCCCTCCTCTGACACTTCTTATCACTTTCCCTGCTTTGTCTCTTTCCACTTAGCACTTGGCACTTCCTAATACACCATATACCTCACTTACCCGTTTTGTTTGTCATTCTCTCTGCACTAGGATGTCAGCTCCACAAAGGCGGGGGTTTGGTCTCTTTGCTCACTTCTGTATCCTCTGCACTCAGAACAGTGTCCATCATACAGTAGGTGCTCAGTAAATACTTGATAAGTGAATGATTTCCCCATTCAATTCCATCTTGTTGATTTCCTTCCATTTTCAACCTCTGGAGATCCTCGTAACTCTTAATTCTGTTCTCCAAAGCATTGATCACTCCCCATCCCATGCCCCCCGCCCCAAGGTTGGGAGCATGCAAATACGGTCGTGTGTGTGTGTGTGTGTGTGTGTGTGTGTGTGTGTGTGTGTGTGTGTGTGTGTGTGTGTGTGTGTGTGTGTAATTGAGCTCCTGCTGTGGGCTGAGCACTGAACTAAATGATAAAGGAACTATAAGATGGATAAGGCTCCACCCCACCCTGAAAGAATGCACAGTCCCATGAAGAATACACAGAACAGGGGGAAGAATAGAGGGACTGCCCTGGTTGCAGATGTGAATGTTGGTGCAGTAGTGAGAAATTCCTCTATTCAACTTGATCCATTGTCTTGGAGGAAAAGAAGGGCAGAGCCCTGTGGCATGCCACCAGAAACCCTCCCTCTGCAGTTTGACATCCTCCCAGTGTATGTCCTTTGGATACTATGTTCAGCTGTTGGGGAATCCACCCAGCTGTACTTTTATCTAAGAACCTTACATATAGTACATATTTGATCCTAACAACTCTATGAGCCCTATTATTACCACCACCTTACAGAGGGAGGCTCTGAGGGAACAAATAATTTGCCCAAGGCCACACAGCCAGTAAGCAGCCGGGCCAGGATTTGCAGAGGCAGTTGGGCTCGAGTCTTACATTCAACCCCCTCCCTGTGCTCCTCCCAGAGACCTGGGAATGTCAGTGTTGAAAGACACCTTAACCCAGAGACATAGAATGACTTACCCAAGGTCACACAGCAGATCCAAAAGTGAAACCCTTTCCTCAACATTCATCCCTGATCAACGTTAATTAAGCACTACCATAAGTAAGCCAGACACCGCGCCAGCCCAGGTTAAACAAAATTTAATAGAAGTCCCTGCCTTTGAGGTATCTGCAGTCTGGAAGGGGAGCCAGGGAGAGGTGAGGAATCTGTGTGAAAACCAGCCAGTGCAATAAAGTGTTGGAGGCGCCACCGTAGATACAGGTACAGGTCTCATGGGTCCAGGTGTCTTCTTCAAGCAGGAGCAACAGGCATTCTTTTTGGCACTCCAGGGACAACTGAAGTCATCTCCTGGGGTCAACATGAGGCTGGGCTATTTACACCCCTTCGGATCTTCCCGGCTATCACACAGGCAACGAAGGGGTTGGTCACTGTCCTGTGGTTTGAGGGCAATTGGACAGAAAAGGCTCAAGTGGTCTCTGCCTTCATCAGCCTCCCCTCCCCCACCACGGACTGCCCATGACGTCCCCTGATCGAGGCACCAGGGAAGCTTTCCTCGGCTCGGCCTTTGCAGCTGAAAGTACATGCCAAATTTGGACCAGCATCTCCCGAATCTCTCAAACATCAGCCATTCACATTCAGCCTCCACCACCTGCCATTATGTAACGCCGTAGGTACAATGAAGTACTTA